CCAGTCTCCTCCGAGCTGATTGTAAATGAGCTGATTGTAACACAGTCCGCCCGCGTTCCATGTTCCCTGTTCCGAAGGACAGACTCCAGGAGGGAAGCTGAGTCTGGGGGTGGAGAGAAAAAAAGAACAAAAAAACCCACGGTGTACGCAGCGCATCTTAGCCCCGGCGCTGCGGGTATTCGCGGGTAGGGAGCGAAATCGCCTAAGGCGGTCCGTAGATCTGTGCCGGGACTCTGGAATCTCGGTTCCTGATGACCCTTGGGCTGGTCCTTGGCTTAAAGACCCTTTTCCATCCAGGCACAGATGCTTTTGAAATTGCGGTGGTGGTGTTTAGCTCCTTTGCTTTCAGCCAAATGAAGGTGCTGACCTGGTGCTGGTGCCTGGTTTAAAAGGAGAGAGAGATGTCAATTGCAACCCAAAAGTCTGAGTCTTTGCCGGCCTCTTCCCTGACTCTGCCTGGTTTTGTCCTCCATTTTTTTACCCTTATGAAAGGGGTGCATCGCAAGTGCCCACAGTAGGACTTGTGTTTCCTAAGCCCCAGAATCGCCATTGGTAAGGGATTTTTGTTTGGTTTTGTGGGAGAATGGTATTATTCAGTAATTCCTAACGGCGTTTCTGGATGAGAACTTCATGAATGAATGCCCCCTGGATATTGGATGCTAAAAAACGACGGTCACAATACAGAATTTTAGACCAGCAATTTTCGGAGTTAGGACTTTAAGCCTCAAGAAGTTCCTAGACTTCGGTTCTAGTCTCCATGATGCTTATGCTTAAGACTGGACTTAGGCTATTTATTTATTATTTATTTATCAAACCCATGGCCTTTGTGCCTGTAGACTTTCTCTCTAGAGAGAATTTGATGTTCCCTCTTTGTACCCCCTGCACAGCTGTCACAGGCTCTATTAGTGCATCTCCCCTGCTTTATCACATACTTGTGTTGATTTACCTCCTTTTTAAAAACTGAACTCCATGAGCACAGACTTGCTTGGTGCACAGCTTCGTATTCATGGCCTCCTCAATGCTGCGTGTACAATGGGCTCCATGGGAACAATAAAAAGGGAAATAGCCTATAGTGACCACTTCCACCTTGCTAAGAGATTTAAGAAGATGATTTAATCCCCATATCTGAATTGTAATGAGGAAACTAAGGCCCCTGTCCTTGGGCCACCAGTCCATCTGGAGTTGTGGGAAGTTTAGCCAGTTGTGAATTAGGCTACAGTGATTTGTTGAATGAATAAACTCTTGTTTTAGAACATGAGAAAGCTGGTGCTTCAGAGAAGTTAGCTGCTGGGCCCAAGGTCACATGCAGAGTGATGCATATTATCAGTGCTTCTTTTCTTTGACAAATTATTCTGCTTGAGTATTTTGAATTTGTCAAGTCTTCCGTTTGTATTTGTTTTCTGAAGGTCTCTGCCTGATGCGGTGATTTTTCAAAGTAGATGCTTAGTAAGTATTGTGGGAAAATCATTTTAAAGTGGCCAACTGTATACATTTGATTTACTTAAATCTTTTCAGAAATTTGGCCACTGTCCACCTGCCAATTTATTAGGAAACAAGTTGCCATCCTTGGAACTGACCATAGGTTGTAATTTTTTTTTATTTGCTGTAAATAATAAACAACTCAATTTGGCCCTGAAGTTAAGAGAATTGAATAAGTAGTTTCTGAGACCAAGAAGTGAATTATTGATCTTGTTATAAGCTGGACTTTGGTGCTGTCTAGGAGGAGGAATCTGAAGAGTTCACACTGATGTCTGAGAGGTGCTCATTGAAAGCAGCTCAGCACTTGACTCTGAATACCCCCGTCCCCTTTTAAACCTCTCTGCATTCCCAAGATCAAATCTTGCTCACAAACATTTTTAACCTACATGCTGTGTCCAGTCCTGCCTGTCCTATTCCATACTACTCCTGGCTACAATGTAAGCAGGCTGCTTACTGCTTTGTATCCAACACTGTATAGCTTAATGAACTTAAAAAAATAGAGGCAGTGCTTGGAGAAACAGTACCTAAACTTTAAGATGCCAATATGCAACTTTTTGAATTTTCCTCCCATCTCCTCCCTTCTGCCACAATGAAAGACTTACTGCTTAGTTATTGAGGGAGAATAAATACCTGGGATCCCCCATAAGATAAAAGGCAGGGGAACACACTGAATCCAAGGCTTGGGAAAGAAGAGAGCTAAAAGTAAACCAAGAAAAGGATCTGTACTTTGTAGGCCTTTGGCAGTTATGAAGGAAACGAAATAAAAACTCGAAGGATGCCAACATTATAAAACATTTATTTTCATCACAAATGTTGTTTGCAAATTGTTTTTTCTTTTATTGTTACACTAAAGAAATACAATGTCATCAACAGCAGAATATAGTCATCAAAGCACAACCCAAACCCAACTACTTTGAACTGTATTTCAATACTTGTGAGCTGGTTAACTGGGTCTGTTACCCTAACCTTTTCAGGTCAGATTTCTTACCTACAAAATATAGATAATAAAAATATCTCCCTCATGAGGTTGTTTGGAGTTTATATGTGAACGTAAGTGGAGTGTCCGGTGCCTAGTGAGCTTTCAGTCAGAGCTACCCTGTTATTATTGATGTAGGAGGGGAAGAGGGTCTCATACTCTATTTGTTCATGACAATTGTGGCTTAGATCTGGACTGTCCCCCAAAACTCATGTATTGGAAGAATGGTCCCCCATGCAGTAAGGTTCAAAGGTGAGGCTTTTAGGCAATGAGTGGACTATGAAGGCTCTAATCTGTGGAATAATCCACTTGATGGATAGCTGTGTAGACTATTAAGAGGTGGGACTTAGCTGGAGAAAGTGGGTCCCTGGGGTATGCCTTGCAAGGGCTAATCTTCAACTCAGCCTCTTCCTCAGAAAATCAATCTCTCTCTCCCTACTTGCCCCCCTATCCACCCCCCAGTTGCCATGAGCCAAGTTACCTTTCTACTATGCCCTTCTGCCATATGTTTCTGCCTTGGAGTCAGCTGACCATACACTGAATCTCTGAAACTATGAGCCAAAATAAACGTCCTACCTCCAAGTTGTTATTGTCAGGTATTTTGGTCACAGTGATGGAAAGCTGACCTACACACAGCTGTGAAGTTCTGTCTTCTTTCCCTAGGCAGAACCTAGCTCTGTCTGCTACAGTGTCTGCCACTGTCCCTGGCTGGAGTGTGGGGTGTGGGGTGTTCCTGTTTTAGGGTGGTGAGTGTCCTTCCCATATTTAGGTTACTTCCAGGCTTAATGTTCACTATAGGGTTCTGTATGTGAGCCCTTGGACTAATCACACCTGGGGTCCCAGAGGACTAAGAGTCTCTTTAAATGAACATTTTCTGCTATAGGACATGTGTGTGGAAAGGCCCAGGGAGGAGCGGTTAGGAGTCAGTCAGCTGCGTGACATTTTTATTAGCGCCAACGTGGGCATCTTCTCCCTTCCTTCTTCAGCAGTGTATGGAAAGTTTTCTTTCAAATTTTGCTGACCATGTCCTTGGCTCAAACTTCCATCCATTAAAACTGGCCCTGGATGGAAGGGTTCAGAAGGGATGTGCATTTTCCTTCAGTTCTTCTTTATATATCGCTGTTTTCTAGAACATGTTTTGGCTTTTAATTGTATGGCCTATTTTAACATTTGTCCTTTGATGAAATGAAATGTCCTATTTCCTGTTGTTGGCTGCGTTAGTCAGTTCTCATGCTGACCCTCCACTGGGCTAAAGAATACTTTGTAATCTTCTGCAGCAGAGACGTTCTGTG